TTTAATATATAAAACCATTTTTATTTTAAACATCCACAGCTGGTAATTTTTGCTGTTTAGCTTTGCTATTTCTGGGTTGCAACTTTTACCAGCCATTGTGTCTCTGAGTCAGTTACTCTTAAATTCTTGCTTCTGTTTTTCGAGATACCGCTGGATCAGTTTTTCAGCAACAACATATTGGAGTTTATCAATGAGATCTAGTTGCATTCAGAGACAATTCAGATTCAAAAAATATATAATTAATTAGTTCAGCATCATTACCTGGGTTACATAGATGATTATTCCAATTTACATTTCTGCTGGAGCTGGACTGTAGGTAGCTATTTGGGAGAGTTGTGAAGCTTCCATCATGTTGCAACACCAGTTTGTCTGAAAGGTGGCAAGCTAACTATTCTTCCCTCCCCTCCCTCCTCAAATACATATGGACTGGGAATTAACTCTTTTTAGTCCCACTGTAATATTGATCCAGTTGCTGTCACCATTCAGAAAGTCTTTGGATTTATACATCAACAGCATTAGTTATGAGTGAAGCAAAGTGGTACATTTCTATAATGACTTTTGCTCACAAACACTCCTACAGCCACTTTTATAATCTAATACAAGTAGTCCTTGTTTAGCGACCACAATTGGGACCAGCAGCTCTTTCGTTAAGCAAAGTGGTTGCGAGGTAGGAAATTGCATGACTACAGCTGTGTTTTCCTTTTCCCCACTCCCTTGCCTTTTGGAATGCTCACTCTAGCGCTGGGATAATTACCAAGAAGGGGATTAATGTTTGTATTTACGTTCATTGGAGAGGAAGGGATTACAAGAGAGTAAGCAGGCACACAGTGGAGAATAGAAGAATGCAAGGGGGGGGGGAGAGAAAAAAACTAAGCAGTTTCTGTAAGCAGTCTCCCCTGTGCCTGACTTGTTTTTTCTCTCCCCTCCCACCCACACACAGAGTGGAGAGATTGGAGAGGAAGGAATTACAAGAGAATAAGCAGACATACAATGGGGAACACAACAAGCTGTTTGTCTAGCGTACTTGTGGCTCCCGGCCCCAAGCAAGCTCAAGGCTGCTGGCACCAGCACATTGCTTTTGATGTGTATTTCCCATTGTGTGCTCTCTCGTAATCCCTTCCTCTCCCACTGTTCCACTCCACAAGGGGAGAAAAAAAGAAAAACAACTGGACAGGCATAGGACAAATCGTAGTGACTGTAATGGCGATCACGTGACTGAGGTAGGCTATGAAAGTCGTAAATCTGTGCATTGCTCGTAAAGTTATTTTTTCAGCACCGTCATAACTTTGAATGGTTGCTGAACGAGGGAGTCAGTAAGTGAGGACTACCTGTAGTTTTTGGCTGTATTGTTGTGTTTAGATTCCCAGGAATACTTACAAACCTCCTAGAATGAAGCAGCATCTAGAAAGAATCAGACTGAAGAATCGCCAAAAAGCAGAGGCAAGTTCAGTATTGTCTTAATAATTCATTTACTATATTTGTTGGAATGTTTCTACCCATATTTGCTGAATTTTGAAATATAGATGTGGTTTCCAGGGAATTGCTGAGGAGTCATATGCCTATCATAATTGGTTGCTTATATTTGAATAATGGCTTTTCAAGGTTCTGCCCCAGATTGCCAGTTATATGATATATGATTAAAATCTTCTGCTACATACTTTTTTGCACTTCATAAAAAATCCAAGGCACCAAATAACTAAATTAAATTAAAGCATAGAGCAAGTGGCTGTGTTACAGGCGCTCCCAGTTTCAGCTTATGGTCACTCACTCACACACTTACAGCCTATTGAGGCATGGGGATCTTGTCAGCCCCCCTTGCTTTCTGCCTGGGTTTTCCAGATAGGTGTGGCTAGAACAAACAAGACACACAGTCCTGGGCAACAGACAGGAAGTAATTAGGGACACGCACAGATCACTTTCAACCAAACACTGAGGCGCAACAGGTTCTTTGGAATACACAGAGACCCAGTGAATTTAAAGTAACAGCAAAGCTTTACTGGTAAGGATGCACATTTGCTCTTTCTCACATGCATGCACACACACGCTCACCCACATTTACCCACGTTCTTCTCAGCTAGGCTGCCAGGCGCTAGCTAGAGGGACAGAAGCTGCCAAGTCTGGATCCAAAGATGACTCGAGTGGGCGGGGTTCAGAAACCCCTTTTATCCCCCAAAGCCCTTGCTTTCCTTGTTGATTCACAAGTCTGGCAGCTACTCTTGCCTTGTTAATTTACAAGTCTGGTAGCTGTTGATGGGATTGGGGGGGTGTTTCCATGTGCTGAAGCCCAACTTCCCTTGTCTGGTTCAGGTGACATTTTTCTTTGTTTCCTTAATGAGTTGTTTCCCTCCCTGAAGGGATCTTTTAGACAAGATTGCTGGCTTTTTGTCCTTTCTGCTTACCTGCCTGCTTCATCTTTTAGTTATGGCAGCTTCAGCCTGGTATCACAGCTGAACTCAAGCAAAAATCTACTTCTGTAATCACAGCCGTGTAGTTAATTGATCAAATTCACTGCCTTGAGATGTCATCTTATCCACTAGCTTAACGGCTTTAAAAATGGAGGAAACCAATTTGAAGGGGATAATGTGGCTGTCACGCCTTCATGTTCAGAGACAAGTATGCCTCCGTAACTCAGCAGATGGAGCAGATGGCCAAAGAACTGTTGTTCCACAAGCTTCTTACATGTTTCATGAAGGCACCTGGTTGTCCATTGTATGGAATGAATACCTGACTATATATGTCTTTCCTTTGTTCCATATTGATATACATGTTTCTTAATACAGCTATTTTTATAACAAGATATTGCCATTATTATATCTAATGGTATATGAAGACAGATAATATACCTGTTCCATTTAGCAGTTATCTCCCCTACTGTACTGAGTATGTCATTCAAAGTTGCCTATAGAATTGCTTACACTGAGCTTGTCATCCAAACTCCTTGCTTTAATCTAACAGACTAAAACAAAGGAGGACACAGGATTGTTGGAAAAAAGATACCTCAGTATCGGGGAAGGGAGAAGCATGAGAAAGAGAGTTACACAAACTTTGCCTTAATTACAATATGTGTAAGTTGAGTGGGAGAATTACTTGGATAGGCTTTCAAGATTAATGCCAAGCTGTACAAGGCAGGCAAACTCAGGAAACAAGAACCACCTAATTTTCTGGAAAGATCTTTATTGCTAGCAGGGTAATTTAACAGAAGCCTGTTAAAGCAGTTCCACTGTTCCGGTTATATCTAGCAAAGTTAAGATGGAGTTGCTCTGACCCACTTAGGGTTCCCCTGGGCTGAGGTGCAACAGTCCTGTTTCTTCCTTCATTTTTCCAGGATCTGTTAGACATTCCATCATAAAGATACAACCTTATGTTAACTGAAATCTAAAGAACAATCCTCCAAAGACTTCGCTAATCATGATTGAGAAGACTTCTGGGTTTGTTTAGCTGCTTGCATATTCAGGGAGAAGCCTCAAGATTTGAAAAATCACAACACATACAAGGTGGAGGACTCTAAACAGCTGAGTGAGGATTAATCTGCTTAGGGACATGAAATGTTGGTTCTGATGATAGTGGGGTTGTTTCAGTGAAGAGGAATGTAACATGCAGCAGAACGTACCAGAGTTTGACCATAAAATTCTTCAGAAGGAAAAGATGAGAGTGACCAGAAAACCTATAAAATCTGCTTTTTTGCAGCTACACTGGCTTTTTCTGCTGTATTTGTTTTTTTTCCTTATTGGAATAGTTTGTGATTTTAGTACTCCCTTAGTGCCCACCCCTTTAGTACTCCCTTAGAAGCCCACCTTGGGCTTCATTTCCCATTAGCTTCTTCACATTACATAGAATCCTATTAATCATTGCTCTGTATTTGACCGTACTTACCTCTAGTTTCCCTTAATATCAAGAATTCCAGCATTATATGATTACCTTCCCTGGAGGTCTGCCACTTCGTTTTGTCCACTAAGTTTTTTCTGTTGGTTACAATCAAGTCAATAGCTGATCTTCTATGGCCTTCCTAGAGAGAAAACATGATAGCACTTTTTAGGTATCAGAGGGAATTTCATATACAGGTAGTCCTCACTTAACAACCACAATTGGGACCGGAATTTATGTCACTAAGTGATGCAGTCATTAAGCAAGACATCACCTGACACTTCGCTTAGTGACCGCATTGCCAACACTCCTGACTGCTGTCATTAAGCGAGAATCATGGATTGTTAGGTGGGGTAACTTCCTGCCAGCTTCTCACAATCAAGTCATTGAGGAAGCCAGCAGGAAATTGCAAGCCCCAGGTGCTGCTGGGTGGGGGAGGGAGCGAGGGTGTGTGTGGGAGGGTTGGAGAGGGTGCATGGGGGTGCAGTGGGATGCATGAGGGCCTCAAAACAGCTTGGATTTTCAACCCCAGAGTTGAGAGGCTTCTGAAGCTTCTCTAATCTGGAGCTGAAAATCCTTTGTGGCTGAAAATCCTGCTTGGATTTTGACAGGGAGCCATTTCAGCCAGCCCCCAGAGACGAGAGGGAGTCCTCTTAGTAGGCAGCAGTGGCTTGTGACTTTCTGGGGAAGCCAGCAGGGAAGATTGCAAATGGCGATCAAATGATCACAGGGCGCTTGGTTCATGATCGCAACCATGTGACTGTGGGAGTACTGCAGCGGCGGTAACTTTGGGTATGGGTCACAAGTCCCTTTATTCAGCACTGTCATAAATCCGAATGGTCACTGAACAAATGGTCATTAAGTGAGGACTACCTGTAGAAGAAGATCAATACTTGTTTATGTTAGAATGCAGGATGAGGGTCTTAAGTTATAGGAACACAGATTTCAGTTTAATGTTAGAAAAAATGTCCTAAATTTAGAGCAATTCAGCGATGGAAACAATTGCCCAAATAATTGTGGGTTGCCCTTCACTAGTTATGGTCAGATAGGGACTAGGTAACCACCTGCCTGAGATAATTTAATTTGGATTCCTGCACTGAGCAGGGGATTGAACTTGATGGCTTAAATAGCACCTTCCAACTTTGAGTCAATGAATCAATGCAGTTCTATATATAAATAAAGTATCTGCTTTTGTACATTAAAGAATAAACATTAAAATTCTTCTGTGCAAACAATTAATGGCATTAAAATTACTTTTACCTTTAGGAACTGCTACTAGAAGCAAATATTAATCAATTCAGCTGTGCAGCCCCAAAGTTTGATTACAAATGCTCTGTAAGTAAAACAGAAATCAATAAATGAATGCAACAATGGATAAATGGAGGAAAAGAATTTAATAGGATTTATTTATTGTAATGTTGTTGTTCAAATCATTTTGAATAATTTTTTGTTGATATTTGGTATTGATAATGATTGCAGCACAGGTCTATCGGCTCATCCTAATGTCACTCTTAATCCTGACACAAAGGGGCCTGCTAATCACATTGAAATGCCATGTTCTCATGATGTTGCCTTTAGTTCATCCCTAGTGCAGAGCAAAGACAATTTAAAGTTATGCTTAGCAGTTCCATATCAGAATGTAAGGTGTGAGTTGTTGTTGCTGTTATTAATAATAATAATATTTATAGACTGCCGGAGTCTTGGTAACTTGTAGATAAGGAAAATGAAAAGTACTAGTACTAATAACAAATGCCAGTAAATTATGGAAGCTTCTAAATTTTTAATTTTCCTTAGGAAATAGAGTCAAATTCTGACTTTAAATCTATAAAAGCTGTGTACTGCTTATAGATTATTTCACAATAAAATTTTGGAATAAAAGACACTTCTTAATAGTGAATCAACCTTTCCTGACTCCAGCCTGCTCTTTTGCTACAGTATTTTCGAAATCATATGCCAAAATGTGGTAGATTCTTATTGCCTAAAAATAGCATGCCTTGTTATCTTTTGTTACATTTCTTTTTTCATGCAGAAACACTTGTTTGTATAGTCTTTTTTTTTTTTTTTTGCTTAAGAAACTCCTAATCAGGCGTTATATTCATTTTATATGCACCGTAATTGGCAATAAGCATTTTTTTTAGTTTTTATTTTTTCCTTTAATACTTTTGAGATGAAACCATAATTTAGAGAAATGCTGCTGCCATTAAGGTGAGTAGTATTTCATGAACATTTTTTCTTGCTACTTTATATCTTTCTTATCAAATTAAATTTCCCTGGCCCAAATCAGGGATTTATTATTTTAATAGATCTTTTCATTCTGGTTTTCCTTTAATTTATCCTCCTTTAATTTATTCTTCACTTCTCCCATTCATCATAAACTTTTCAAGGAGGATTTTAAACTCATCTAATTTATTATTGGCAACTATTTACTAAGTAAAGTTTGAAGTGACTGAGCTGTTAGTAAACAACTTTTAGTTGGTAGGTCTCAATCAGAGTCCAGCAGAGTTCACTGTCATCTACTGCCCTTCTTTCCTCTAACTGTTCCTTGTCTTCCAGACATGATAACTCTTCACTTTCTCAATTTAACATCTCAGATCTGTCAGCCTTACGAGGTAGACCAGACAGAAAACACGAGGAGATGAGCTAATTCTACTTTATTGTAAGGTTACATTACAGAATCTTGCAAGTCTGAAGTCCTGCTCTCTCCCTGTCCCCTTTACAGCCCAAAAGCCAGGGAGGGTCTCTTCTGAGTCTCTTGCCCCGCCCCCCATTCCTGCTGTGGGCTCAGCTGCCTTTATCAGACCCTTGGTTGCTTCTCCTTGCCTTATCTCCCAAGGTCACTCCCACATACCATTACAGATCTGTTAGCAGATAACAAGATATGTAAATTACAATAGCACATTCTAGATTTTATTGTCACTACCTTCAGTGAATATTCCCAACAAAGCTAAGTGTGGGCCTGTTTTGAATTTCTAATTGATTATTTTACTCATTTCAGTGAATATTAAACTCCCAGAGATTCAAACCCTTGGTTATGTCCACCACAGATGAAAATAGGTGCCTTTCTTTTTGTAGTTATTGCAGCATAGATTTCTTTTTATATTCCAGTTTCACCAGAGTCATGTACCAACTATAAATTATATAATTTTCTTTTTATTGACATAGAGGAGAAAATACAGGCTTGAAAACCCAAATCTTATTTCAGTCCCTTTTCTTAATGCCCATTTGTGGGTTATTTTCCCAGACTTTTAATAATTGTGGGTTGTTTTCCCAGACCCTCTAATAATAGGATCTTGTACTCCAGTAAATAATATAATATTTGGATATTAATTCTTTTGTTGACTTATTTAAATTTAAATTTAGTAAGCAGCTTTTTAATCATTTGGATATTGGAAAGAAAAAAGGGAACAGATTTGTAGTAAATTAAACCAGAGAAGATTGACATTTAACTTTTTTTTTTGTTCTATCTGCTTCAGGCCTCATAAAATTCTCTTACAGTGCATATCTTTTATTCTACACTGGTTGCTCTTTGCCCTTTCATTAATATATTTCATATATATGCCACTTTTCCAAGTTTCCAAAGTTGACTTTAAAATGAATTAGAGTAGAACTGATAATTTCTTTAGTATAATCAGCACAAAATGGTAAACTTAATCTTTTTTTTAAATTTTGACATGAAGAACCATGGCTTAAGTTCTATGTGAGCTGCTATTCCTACAATATTTCTCAACTGTTCAGCTTTATGGTTGGAAATATCAAATCCATAATCTTTTGATTTATGTTAGGCTCTATTAAAACTTGCTATTTTGTGCCATCCTTGAATGGTGGATGACAATAGACTAGTCTGAGAACCTGAAATAGATGTGACAGGTTAAATAATAAAAATATCTCAGTGGCAGCAGTATGTCCCAACCATGAAACTCCATCCCAACTTTTGATTTTCTTTTTTTTAAATACTTAATGATCAGGACATAATTAAATGTATTTTACCTAGTTAATTTGTTGAAAACTTTAGGTTCCAAATAGGTAATTACTTTTGATGTTTTAAATACACCAATCAGGGAGATTATTTTGGTGCTTCTGACAGGTTGGACTACTTTTTCCTTTTGCAAAAAGACTGATGCAAAATAGGAATTAATTCAGTCTTCTCCCTATTGTCTGTTACCATCTTGCCATCTTCTCCAACAAACTGGCTGACCATTTTCTTGACCATGTCTTGTTCTGTTGTTGTTTAGTCGTTAAGTCGTGTCCGACTCTTCGTGACCCCATGAACCATATTGCACCAGGCCTTCCTGTCCTTCACTGCCTCCCTGAGTTTGCTCAGTTTCATGCTCATTGCTTCAGTGATGCTATCTAACCATCTCATCCTCTGCCGTCCTCTTCTCCTTTTGCCTGTCTTGTTCTACACATACCCAAATAAACTGTTTGGTGTTTTGGGGGTTTTGATTTGTTTTGTTTATAATTTTGGCATTATTTAATAGCCTTAACTCGTTTTGAGCCTCAGCCTTCCTGACCCTATCCTTATAATCTACTGTATATTCAGGCTACTTTGTGATGTTCTGCTTTTGTCATATACCCTTCTTTTAGTGTTTTAAATTTGTCCTCTTTGTTTCTCAGTTTATCTGAGAGCTCTTAATAGGTGGACAGGCAGGTTTGGGAGCTTTTTTCTTTTTTCTTGTGATGCCAGTCTCATCAGGTGTTTCCCACCTTTCATTCTCAGTTAATATCAGGGTAATTAAAATCCCTCATTACCACAGTAGTGTGTTTCCTGGACACCTCGGCGATCTGATTTGCAGATTTCATCTATATCTTTTCTTGGTTGACTGGCCTGTGGTATGTACCCACAACAATGTCATTATTATTTCTATTCCCATTATTTTTTATTGCCTTTATTGTCTTGATTTCATCTGTCTTTATCTTCATGCAGTTAATTTCTATTAAATTTCCAGTCATGTAGATGCTGTTTAAAATATTACATGACTCCTACTGCTTTTTTGAGATGATTTAACTATCTATATATCTCAAAGGTCATTCAGATAATTTAAGTTTCATGTAATCCAGTATGCATAATTTGATTTTGAAGTATGCTCCTTTTTCAGTAGAATAATTTATAGAATAATGCTACAATGATTTTTACACATAGATTATAAAGGAATTCCCAAACCTTGCTGAGAAATTCCAGGCCCAGAAGATCAAGTTCAAGGTGAGGAACAGCTCTAGGTGGCTTAAAGTTCTAACCTGGTGAGATGCAAAAAGTTCAGGCTGACTCAGTTTAAAACTGGACAGACAAGGGCTTCCCTTAACATTTCTGATGGCAGCAAAATAGGTGGACAGGCAGGCTTGGGAGCTTTTTTCTTTTTTCTTGTGATGTGGCTAATTCCAACATTTTCTGTTTTCTATCAGTTTTCAGCAATCATGTTCAGCAGCAAGTGGGTTACCCCTTTTATAAAAAAGTATAAGTAAATGGTGTTATATCTGAAAAGCATATAGTTCTTTAAGAATTATGTTCTTACTGAATGTATCATAAAATATTTCTGAGGAGGTGACCACACCTGGCTGATCCTGAAAAATAGGCAAATAGGATCAGATCTGATTAATACTTGGATAGAAGACCACCAGGAATCCCAGGCTGTAGGCTGGATTGGGAAGTAAAAAAAATATATCCTGTACACATTGTGTGAATAGGGTTATAGATCTTGTACATCTTGTTAATAAATATTTTCCCATGGTTTTAAGGGTGAAAATAAAGTGGGAAGCCTCTGGGAGACAAAGGATTTCCATCTTCACCCTTAAAACATCCCAAAGTCCACTCAAAGTCTGGCAGGGCTCCCCAAAAGGAGCCAAGGAAAGAGCCAAAAATTTACCACCAAATTTTAAAAGCATAAATTGGGGGTGCTAAAGATGGCTGAAGTTTACTCAGCCATAACTTAAGAAAACATTCTTTCTTTCCTGGCCATAAAACTCAGTATAATTTGGACCATTCTATGTGGAATAGAAATGTAAAGGAGAATTGTGTACTTCGCTGTTCATCGACTCATGAATTAATGTGTTTCTGTGGGAGAGGGATTCATGACCCGAACCATGGCCTATTCTAATTTTTATTCATATATGTTAGTTTACCTTAAATCTCTAACAATATGATCCTAGAAATGTCTACTTAGAAACAACTTCCATTCATTTTCACATGGCTTATTTCTATATAAATGAGATTTGCATTGTAGGCTAAATGTGAAACAAAATATTTGGGAAATAATTTCTGATTTTAATCTTCTTAATAATATTATGATTGCTGGGATTGGAAGACTTTTCATTTTAAAATATTGCTGTGATTCTAATGAATGATCAGAAGGGATTTAATGTGCAACAGACCTCCTAGAACCACTCTTCACTTCTGCAATTGTAATGTAATATGTAAGTTGAGGGTATATCACTGATGAAAACAGATTTTTTACATTAGATACTGTTCAATTTATCATCAGCTATCTATTAACCACTTAAAGAAACTTTTAGAACTATTTAAAATATAGTTAGGGAGTATAAATACAGTGTATACCAATTGTAGATTGTTCAAGATTTCTCTTTTACAGTTCTGCTTCTAAAAATATTTATGCATTAATTTATCTACAGACTGACAATACACCTGTTAAGCTAAATGCAGCAGCAGTCTTAAGAGAAGGTGTTCTGTACCAAAGAAAAGTGGAACAGGAGCTTAAGAGGTACTTAACATGTGTCTGCTTTTTATTGTTGTGTTAACTAGAGAACGACAGTATTGCATTAAAGGAAATTAAGATACAATCTGTTATTTATAGCACAATTATTCCCCTCTCTTTCAAAACTTAAAAGGATTCCAAGAATTATTAATAAAGGTCAGGCTTTATTCATATATTAACAGTTGTGTGAATTCTGAATAAGAACATAAGAAAAATCCAGGGCACAACTATTTTAGTATTCTCAGCTCTCCTAGATGAGGAGAGCCAGTTTGGTGTAGTGGTTAAGGCACTGGGCTAGAAACTGGGAGACTGTGAGTTTTAGTTCCACCTTAGGCACAAAGCTGGCTGGGTGGCCTTGGGCCAATCACACGCTCTCACCTGGAAGGAAACAATGGCAAACCACTTCTGAAAAACATCTGAAAAACCTTGCCAGGAAAACTGCAGGGACTAGTCTAGGCAGTCTCCAGGAGTCAACAATGACTTGAAGGTACACACGCACAAATACACACACACATGTCCTTGGAAGCCTATAAATAGGATATAGGAACCAGATGTGTGTCTCTCAGCAGTTGTTATTAGAAGATGTGCATTTATGAGAGACTGGAGATATGAGCATTTTGCACAAGCTTAGGGTGAACTATGGCCAAGAAATTTACCATTGGTGCCATGCCAGACATCACAACAGAACATGGACAACCAAGATTTTTCAGTTGCCCTTTCTATTGAGTATTTTCTGGGGATTGGCTGATAAGTTGAAACTTCCTTTTGTGTGTTTTCCAAATTTGAATAAAGGCTGGATCAAGGTTGGAGAAGGTGGCAGGTTGACTGTCTTCACCCTCACCCTCTTTCTGTCTCCATTGTAATCTTGCACACTTGCTGGGGTGAAAATACAGTTGGGAGTAGCAGACACACTGTGGAGTGAACAGCTCCATTTTGTAGCTGTGTTTGGCTCCCAGCTATATCACCAGAGGTTGGAAGGAGGAGGGAATAATAGGTTAACACCCTGAGTTTGGAAAATATATGACACCATTATAATTATTATTGATAATTAAATTAAAATTAAGGTTTTAACCAAATTGCATACACACACACACATCCATTGTTGGTGGCTCATGAGTAATGGAACAAACCAACATCATGACAAACATAAGGATCGCCTTTGATAC